TATAATAGCTTTGAGGACCGGTATAAAAGATAAACGAGGATTGGTAGAGCCTCTCTATTGATTCTAAAAGGCAGCTGGGCCGCCGCGATGCGTATTCGTTCAGAGCTGGTGTTGTCACTCCACTAAAAAATTCAGGCTCCAAATCTAAGGTGGTGATACCTTTCGGGGCCAACCATTACATAAGCCGAGGCCGAATACCCCAAAGGGCCGAAAAAATTCTTGTAGATCAATATTGTCACTAAAGTCTGTAAATTTTGTACAAAACAAAATAGCCACTGCACGATTGAGGTCTGAAAAAATCTTGCATGAAAAAACTAACCCATCCCCGGCTCAAAAATCAAATAGTGGGCCCCTTACTGGTGGCCCTTCATGCTGAGTGCTATAATATATTAAATTCCTGCAGACTCTGCTACTTGTACCTAGTATGCAACATTCCTTTCACTAATTCAACCGTTTATTTTATAAAAAAAAACTAAAGAAAATAAACTATTAAGGTTTTGGTACTTTTATTTCACCGAGGTAAATCTTTGGTGTTCCACTTATTTTCACTGATTCTACACTGTAATTTCAGACTATTTATCATACAAGCGTTTATCAGTTATACAGTAATCGAATGTGTCCTTTACTTTCCCGGCCCAATACCAGTATTGGAAGGTGAACCGATCTCGGTTTCTCATCAGAGTTCGAGATGACCCTAAAACTCCATGCAGTTAGAGCAGATTTATTAAATTGCGAGAAAGCATTTATTTTGCAACAAAGCGCGCGAATTCATTGTACTTTTGTATTCTACTTTTGACGTCCATTCTAATTATTTAAGTACTTTTAAGAGTTAAGTTGCTGGTCAAAAAATACGAATCTTGATTTATAGCCGCCTTGTGACTTGCTTGAGGCGATGAGGCAATCGGGACCTATACAGTAAATTCCGCTTTCAATGAATCGGTTCATTGTCTATGGTCCTGGCGGTATTGTTATGTTTGATCGGCCGAAAAACTCTATGCTTGGACCCTTGCCAGGAGTAAATCAGTCAAGGAAGTACTTACGTACCTTTCTCTGTCACAGGATTTCTTTTTGTCCTTTTTCTTCTTCCCCATTTCTCGCAAAAAAAAGGTATGTATAAATCGCTTTCTCTGCCTTCTGGCGTTGGCAGCGCGTTGAGGAGTTGCGTCACAAAGCGAGAAAAGTGACTTGAGATTCATATTACGGTGCCCTTAACAATTAATAAATTAAGAATATGATACCATGTTTTCGTCAAACAACCAGGACTTCGTATGACAGGAACTGCCGCCAGCCGGAAGCAAGAATAAGTAATGTACCTCGGCCAGGAAATACTGTGGACACAAACCTTATTATTAAAGCGGAAAAATATTGTGATAAGAGATTTTTAGACCGTGTAATAAATCTGATCCCTGATTCGGCCTCAAAAGCCTTGTGATCCCTGATCCCATTCTTCTGAGCCCTGAGCCCTTTCCTTTGAGCCCTGATCCCAGTCATATTTTGGGCTTTGAGCCCTGAGCCCATATACCATGTTACGACCCTGAGTATTAAGTATTGCTTTAGTGGAGTGATAATAGTTGCCCTTCTGTGAATGTTTAAAAGTGCACACCCTCATACTATTGGACCTTGGCTTGCTGCTGCCTAATACCTAAAAAAATGAACTCTTAAAATTCTACCAGGTCAAAGGTAATTTTGAACCATAATGAAAAACATGTCTACTTATTTCCTGTCTTTGCAGATGGCACAGTTAACATACGAAAATAGGAACTTGAAAGAGCGAATAAGTGTCCTAACAACAATGAGCGACGAGCGGTTACTCGAGTATGAGGAGTGTAAAAGAGAACTAGTAAAAAAAGGTGAAATGCCCTTTTGTAATAGGGTTTAACTAATCAGTCCCTTCGCCTTCCCCTTGAGTTTCTAAGAGTTATGAATAAAAACTGTTGATCAACGGTAGGAAAAAGGTTGGACAATAGTCAAGCAAACGTCGACTACTTGTCGTTCTGTACACCGCCGTCAGCACTACTTCCAAGTGTGTTCATTTGTACTTCAGCCTTCTGTTAGCCGACTGCTGGCATTGGTTACCGTCAAAGTGTCATCTTGAAACCCTGAATATTCTTGTTAGATCAGTGCCCAGTTTGGTTCACTAGCTAACTAAGTTACAGCTGCTGAGTAATCATTTCATAACCGAAATACATTTTGCAGCTTAGGTAAAAAAATCTTAGTAATGCCTATCATATCAATCCCTTTGTTCTGAAGATATATTTTGATAAAGCGCCGTAAGAAGAAGATGTAGGCCACCATGATCCTCTTTGTACAAATTGCGAATTTGGTCCATCGTAATGTTTGAGGAACGTCTAGAATTTCGTCGTCTATGACTGCGTCTACCATGTGCGGCACTTAATTGGGGGGCGGTGGGCGCTTATTCGAGAAAATAAGATAATTGGCAAAATTAACATAATGAAGCAAACAGCCATGACACAGCCCCTTTAAGGACGTGTTTCTTACGTCATTGATGACGTAGCACGTCGTCAGAACATTTAAGGCCTTATGTTATAACTAAGAGTTTATTGGATTTAGGGCAAAAATTTATTACATTTAAGGCAAAATATCGTAACATTTTGGGTTATTTATTTCATTTAGGTCTTCTACAATAGTTCAATTGATCGCTAAGTTATGACTGTTTCGGGAAGGAGTAGAAATTAATTAATCATGGTCATGGTTTTTTCTTTGGTTTACAGATAGACAAATACGACATTTGGGGAGGAAAGCAAACTGTTTTGAAGAGAATATGGAATTACTACGAATGGAGATGAGCCATAAAGAAAAGGAAAACCTAAGGTAACTATTCTATTGGTCAATTTTTTAGCGGAGTGTCCTGGCGCGGAGCCTCCATTCCTATAGAAATTGGAAAGCCATCGATTGAAGGAAATTTCGCTATGACATCAGCTTACTTCTGCCCATCTACCTACATGCCCGTACATACTGTGAGCGTAGGGTAGGGGGGACTTAGAAAGGAGGAGAAAGGGAGTCCCTGACATGCACTTTGTCGGAATCTTGCCTTTGTCTTGGCGTAGGATTAACCAGTTTAGAGGCAGTAGTATAGGACATGGGGGTAGGAGCGTATTTTTCATATTCCGGAATTCCTGGAAGTGGCCAAATGGGTTTTTCCTGGAATTTGGGGGATCACGTGACCTGATCGAGGCTTAAAGACATATATCATTATATTAATGAGCGCAGATATTAGAAATATTATATATATATATTAATAATATAATGAGCAATCGTAATGAACTAGTCAGAAGGCTATTATCTGGAATCAAAATGAGTGAACTCCAAAATCTGGTTAATATAAGGGAAGAAGCGAATCGCCCTATTCCCCCTTAAAGAAGAAGAAGACAACAACAAGAACTAAGGAGATCAGAGAGAGAGATCAGTGGTAAGTTTTGAAATTTACTCGTTTACTTCTAACAACAGGAGACTTATATGCATGTTTTGTGCGTGGATCAACATCAGGAAAACGTAATTTTTTGAATGGCAAATAGATAGCGGTCCTGAAATACATGCAGGTTATAAAATTAATGTTCAGGCTCTACAAACGGCTCTCCATATATTAATGCTAGAGGGATAACAGTGCTAGGCTAGAATCTATGTGCAATTGCATTGTACAATATTAACTGCAATACTCCATTAAATAATTTTTGATCAGGGGTGCAAGGAATCTCTGTTGTCAAAGTACAAAATATTAAAATCAACAAATTAATAGTAATTATTTTTAATTTAAGAACACTATAATTATGATAGTGTTGAAGTTTATGTATACAAACAGAAATAGATTTGATACATCTTTTATGAAGGTTATTGTTTTATGCACTTATTGAAACTAATCTGTGCAACCGTCAATCCCAATTGTTCAGGAAGTACTGTTTCCCTAAATTTTAAAGTGAAAAAAACAATTTCAAGCTTTTTGTAAGAGCCATTGGGGGGCAGCCAGTGAGGAATAACACGACATGGTATGAATGGTATACCTTCCTGAATGGCCACCCAAAGACAATGGTTTCCTTCAGTGATATAGGCTCTTCCAGTTGTAAGATCACATGATATTGAAAACCATTTTTCAAAATGAAACGTCTTACTTGTTCAAGATGATCGTGATTATTGCCAGCTTTTGGCATGAGAGATCTGTCAAATTCCCTATATTCCCAAAGATCTTGTGTTTTGATCATTTGAAATTCATGCGAATAATCAAATGCATCAGAAAGGTAAGATTTGGTCTGCATTGCATGTTTTTCACTTTCTGTGGGTTCATCAAGTGTCACAAAGGACATAAATTATCTGTATCAATTAATGGTTGAAATGCTTTTGCAAAATCATCGTCACTACTGTCACTGTCAATTTCTGTAGTCATGCTGTTAATCAACTCCTTAAATGATTTACGCTTTGACTCTTTTTTGCCACCTTTAATGTCTGAAGTTGTTTCTGTTCTTCCAACTTTTTGTTTTTTTGGTGGGTGCCTCTCAGGTGTGTAACCTTGCTTAGTAGGTGTGGAAGAATGCTTCGGACTACCTCATAACCTTTTTTGTGACATTTGCTTGCTATCATGCAGCTCTACTTTATCGCAAGAGGTTTATATCTCATACCTTTAGGGTGGGGCTTTTGCTTATTTTTGGTAAGTTTTCCTTGCTTTGCAAATTCCTCCTCCTGTTTCTTCAGTGAGGTTAAAGTGTCAGTAAGTAGAGCATAGAGAACAGAATTTTCAACAAGCCAATGATTTTCAATGGCAACATCCATTAGTTTAGCAAGGTCAGATGATTTGGGTTGAAAATTTTTTGGTGCTTTCACACTTTTTTGTTTCTCTTTTAGGTACAAACTGTAATATCATTTTGCTTTTTTTTGGCTTTGAGCAACCACTTTGTGTAGATTTTTTGCTCTGGCTATGAGTACAGCACGTGAAAGAGTACTGAGTTTAGTGTGTGAATCATAGGCTGTTTTGGACTCAAATGATTCAGATGAAGGATTTGTTTTCCAACAAAAGCAAGATCGTAAAATATCTTGACATTTGTGGCATCTGTTTTTTGAATGGACAGGTAGTTTGTAGGTGCAATTTAAGCTCCTAACGCACTTGACAATCTCTCCATCTACATTTGCTCCTTTTTCATCCACAAAGTATAAATTTGTTTCTCTTTTTCTTTCAGCCATATCAACAAGGGCTGGATCATATATACCTGCACAAACCGGTAAGTTTTCAATACCTTTAAGCATGACACCCAAAGCAGAGTTTAATATGTTTTCTTGAAAAATATTGTGTGGGAGTTCCCCATGGTCAATTTTGTTACCCAAGAATTCTACTGTAAATGAACTAAAATCCTTTGAAGGAAATGTTTTTATTTCAGAAGGAAGAAAAAGGGTTAACTCCTTCCACTTCGTTATTACACCACCTTTTCCGATATTTGGAAGAGAAAAAGTGACCTTCATGGTATTATCTGTAGTGTGCTGAGTAAATGACACTGTCCATGGAAAAATACATGAAATAATTGTTTGAAAAACTATATAAACTGGCAGAGGTGATGACTGTACTTCACTGTCATTTCCTGCATCTACTGGTTCTTTTGGAGCAGTTTGTGTCATTATTTCATTCAACACATCTGTAAAAATACCTGCTTTACAGTTTAAAGCATCAGACACAGCAAATTCTCTATCCAAGACCATTTTTTCTGATAGCACAGTGGCTTGTCCTTTAGTTGGATTAATCAAAAAACTCATGCTTGTTGCTGTCATTATCTGTCGTTATTGTGGAAATTGAACAACCTTGTTTTTGGTGGAAGATGTTTTGAGCTTCTTTGTACTCATGCTCTATTTTAATGGATTTTAAATAGAAAGGCTGACATGACATGCATATGTAGTCTGGAAAAGTTCCATCACAAGGATCTACACTATACAAGTCATTATGTAAATCAGTCTTATTGCCAGTTCTTTCATCCAAAAAATTGCATCCCACTGAAAACATATTTTTAAAAACATTTATGTGGTGTTTCTTGCAGGGAACATCACTACTCAGGCAAACCTTGTTGCCACATTGTGAACAAGGCACTATACATGGTGTAACTTTCAGGATGCCCAGCTGGGCATCGCTGCGTGATCTAGTGGAGCTTTTCCCCTTAGGAGGCTTATGCCCTCTTGCTGATAAACTGCCGTAATGTTTATCACATACCCTAAGATCTTTGAGATTTTCAGGTGTAACATCATCAGGGGCACATTTCAGTTCATACCGCCCAACCATACTATCAAATTTTCTTGATCCTGCCTCATTCTCACATCCCTTCAGACAGCATTGTACACCTCCCATCAATCGCCCATGCATAAAAACTGTTCCTCTTATTTCTTCCAAAAGTAAAAACTCAAATAAAGGCTTTCCACAGCATGACAACCAGTACAAATCACTTGTTATTCAGAATTTAGTATTTATTTGAGATCTTAGATCTTTTATTGTGGCATATGGTGGAAAAGGGAGGGTGTGTGGCTTGCCTGTTATATCAACAATTTGAATAGTTGTCATCAACCTTTTAGATCTTATCAACATGCTAAAAAGGAAACCAGGGTGGTGTAATTCAAGCAGTCTGGCACAGGGATAACTTAAAAGTACACCAAATGAGAGATATAAAATTGGAAAAAGGAGTGGCATTTCTGTACAGGATCTGGAACTGACATCAAAGGTCTCCCCAAATATAATAATAGTCACAACATATAAACCCACAAAGAATGAAAATGGGAGTGCAGAAATTATCAGCAAAAAAGCAGCAGTTGCCAAGTAAACAGGATATTGAAGTTCACAGTTTAAAGAACAATTTTTTGTAATACTAAGGTTCAGTGAAAAGCCATGAGAAACAAAAAGGCACACGGTCATTAGACAGGAGAAAAAAAGCTGTGATTTTAATCTCCAAAAATATTGTACCAGTGAAAAGTTGAATTGGGGCTTTACATGTAACAAAATTTTATAAACTGGATCAAGCAAAGATAGAAATAATTTCAAGGTAATAACAGCAGGGAATAGAAGCATTTCTAACAAACAATTTAAAGTTGATCTATACTTAATCATTTGCCTTAAAGAAACCATGCACAATACTTTCCTGTAAAACAAAACCGTCAGTGTAAAAAGAATGGTGGTTAAGGCTAAAAGGGAAACAAGGACGTTTGAGAGGTTGAAGTTTTGAATGAACTTCACTTTGAAGTGGATAATAAAAAAGGACAAAACGGAGGAGACCAACATTTTTATTACATGAAAAGTTTTACTTTGTAACTCAAAGGAGTGAGGGATTTGTGTCTCCAAAAAAGATGGGGGCTTTGAAGGGATGCAGAGGGCACATGGAAGGTTTGAAAGGCCTGGGAAAGATATTGCAACCATTGCAAAAACAATATGGACACGCACAACAGCCATCACATTATATAAATATGATCTTACTTTATTAATTTTCTCCCTAAGTAATTTTTCCTTTTTAAAATAATATAACTTCTTAAATTAAGCTATGTACTTTTTATTTAAAATATTTTTTTCTGTCTCTTTTATATGTCTTTAATATTATTATTATTGTTTTTTTCTCAAGTAATAGTCACACTATTAAAATTAATTAAAAGAATAATCTTTTTAAAAGGCAAATACAGAAGCCAACAACACTGCTAACAAGCAACAACAACAATGACACAGGCAAGTAAAATACGGGGAAAAAGCCAACAAAAAACTGCAGACAAATGCAAATAGCAAATTTTACCAACAATAACAAAACAGAATAAAACAACCAACAGCAGTAAATTTTCAAAGCAGTAAAGGCCAGCAATTACTTTGATCAAAACAGAGGGGCACCAGATTAACCAGCAAACCTTAGACACAAGCAGTAAACAAGCAAACTTAACACACAATGACAGCGTTAAAGTCTGCAAAATTTACCCCAGACAGTCAAGAAGCCAAGAAACCACACGCGATTCAACACAGTATCTTCACATTCAAAAGGATTGATGAGCAAAATGGCTCGTTACATCAACACAAATCAACTATCGTATCAAACTTCTGTTATTAATGAATTAAACCTCCTCTTCTGAGGAGATTTGGTTGGCAATTTAAAGAGAAAACGGCTGACGTTTAGGGTGGATTTATCTAGTTCCGAGTTCAAAATGGCGCCCACGTCACTGACCCGAAGTGGATTGGAGTAGAATTTAACACAAACGTGCGGACAAAACAAACACAGCTTTTACACACAAACAATATAAGCAACAAAGCTTGCACACTTAAGACAAATTGTTTTACCAACGCTGAACAAAAGCCTGTATTAGCCCTTTCTTTGTTTAACTTCGATGGCTTCTCGACGCTAAACTGATCAAGCGACCCGAAGCTCTGAGTCGTTGCTATGTGACGTCACACTGTCATGATGACTCGGTCACAGACCAATACCCGAAAACAATAGAGACGCCTCCTCCCTCCTGGACCCACCCAAAGCCAGGAAACCTATTCGACGCTAAACGAACGAAAAGGGGATGACCTAATCCTTATGGCTTCTTTTTGGGCTTCCTCACCACATTGCTTCTGCGTGTTTCTGTATACTTGTCTTTTGCTTTGTTTTGTTCTTCTTTGTCGGTAAAATAATAATAATAATAATAATTTACATTTATATAGCGCAAACCTCTATATGAATATATTCGGTTGCGCTTTACAATATTGTTATATTAAATTAATGTTAAAGGTGACTAAAGCATGAGCAACTATTAAAAACTACAATAAAAAGTATTAAAAACTATAAATAAAAATAAATAAATAAAAGCCAACAATTAAATCTATTTAAAAGCTAAATTAAAAAAATGAGTTTTAACAGCAGTCTTAAAAGTGTCCAATGTCTTCATGTTGCGAATTTCCGAAGGTAATGCATTCCAGAGATAAGGTGCAGCTGACTGGAATGCACGATCGCCAAGAGTTGGATGGGTCTTAATGCATGGTAACTCGAGGAATATAGACTCATTTGACCTTAGAGAGTACTTGGATTGCTTTTTGGTAGTAATGAAATCAATTAGATAATTAGGAGCTTGACCATATAAGCACTTAAATGTCAAAAGTAGAATCTTAAACTTTATACGGTAACTTATTGGAAGCCAATGAAGGTGGAAAAGCAATGGTGTAACATGGCAGAATCTAGGTGTTCCGGTGACCAACCGAGCCGCGGCATTCTGTATCCGTTGGAGTTTCATGATATGTGAATTCGGGAGGCCATATAGTAGACTGTTACAATAATCTATTCTACTGGTGATAAAAGCATGAACTAATGATTCGGTGACTGAACGACTTAAATATTTCCTAATTCTACGCATGTTATAAAGATAATTGAAAGCGGATGAGCAAGTTTTGTTGATATGACTTAGCATACTCATTTTAGAATCAAACCAAGCTCCTAGGTTTCGAACTTCAGAAGATGGAGCAATTTGGGAGTCCCCAACCGATAAGGTACTAATGTTACTGACTTTCTGAAGTTGTTGTCGTGTTCCAATCAGAAGACATTCTGTCTTATCGGAATTCAGTTTTAACTTATCCGAATGCATCCATCTACTGATATCAGCAATACATGATTCCATGGCAGTTATAGCAGCGGTCTCCTCCAAATCATTTCCTGATCTAAACGCGATGTACAGTTGCGTGTCATCTGCATAACAATGGGAATTAGGAAGATGTGATTCGACGATCTTAAAAAGTTTACTAGCATAGAGGGAAAACAATAATGGCCCGAGACAGCTGCCTTGTGGAACTCCAAATTTAAGATTAAAATTACTCGATAGAACTCCGTCTATATAGATGCGCTGGGTTCTGTTAGAAAGGTACGATTCAATCCAATTAAGTGCAGAGCCTGAAATTCCAAAATCAAACTGAAGGCGATCTAAGAGAATCCTATGGTCCACGGTATCAAACGCGGCGCTTAAATCAAGAAGCACTAACAACGTGACCTTCTGATTTTCCATGTTCATCAGAATGTCATTCTTGACTTTAAGCAGGGCAGTTTCTGTGCTATGGTGCCGTCGATAGGCTGATTGCAATGAAGGAAAAAGATCATGCTCATTTAAGTAGGACTGAATCTGATCAGCTGCCACTCTTTCAGCCAATTTTGAAACAAAGGAAAGATTGCTGATCGGTCGAAAGTTTTTAAAAACCAAGTCAAGACCTTGTTTTTTTAGCAGTGGTGTAACAATCGACTCTTTCCAAATGTCAGGGAAAAATCCTGATTCAAGCGACAAGTTTATCGTAGTAGATAATATCGGAAGTAACTCATCAAGGCAATCTTTCAAGATATTAGTGGGAACAGGATCAAGTAAACAAGATTTTGTCGGCGCTCTGAGCGCAAGTTTTCTTAAAGAGTCCATGTCTACACGGCGAAAAGCAGTAAAGGACGAAGAACAATGAGAAGAATGGCGGTTAACAGTGCTGCACAAATTCTCAGTTGCATCAAGGCTAACACGAAGATCCGATATTTTCTTAATAAAGAACGACCCCATGTCATTAGCCAAGGCTAACTTATCGCCGTGAGGTGGAAAAGGCGTATCTGCTGTCTGATTGAACAGTTTCTTTGTAGCAGCAAAAAGCTTGCGTTGATCTCCAGAAATGTTGTTGACAAAATCTGTGTAAAATTCACGACGAGACTTATTCATAAGAAAGACAACTTTGTTCCGAAGAAGTTTGAATGTTCTCCAGTCAGATTCAGACTTTGTAGACCTCCAGTTACGCTCAGCTATCCTTCGGCGACGTTTCGCAGATCTGATCTCATCAGACAACCATGGAGCTTGAACTCTTTGAGTCATGGATCTCTTCCGCCAAGGAGCGTGTTTGTCGGTGATGGACTTTAAAGTAGTATTAAAACAGTTAACGAGATCAACAAGGTGATTGGGAGTGTTAAGTAGCAATTCTGAAGTACGGATATCATTCTTAAACTTGGGAAGATTAATCGATTTAATTTTCCGAAACCACACTTCTTTAGCAGAGGACTCTGACTTAGAACCTTTTAAGTTAAACAATACTGTCGCGTGGTCAGACAAAAAAGAGCCTGAAATCGGTGTGTCTTGAATGATACTGTCCATTTTTCTGGTTATAACTAGATCCAGTGTATGACCTAGAACATGAGTTTCAAAGTGCACATGTTGAACAAGTCCCAAAGAATCAATTAGATCCAAA